CAGGCTGGCCCCAAGTAAGGTCCATTCTCCCTGTGAGAAGCAGACACCGGAGGTAAAGGGGTGGCCGCTGCGGTGGGATCAGGGGTCCATCAAGATGTGGGAACCCTGTGTCTGAATGCACATGGAGCTCTGCTCTCCAAGGCCTTGTGCCACAGCAGGCCACCGCTTCTCTCTCTCGGCCATTAGACTCCTATCTGCAGGGAAGCCCTCGTGACCTCAGGACAGGGACAGTGTGAAACGCCTGGGGTCCAGGCACAGAGCAGCAGAGTGGCCTCCAAGCTCACATCCCCGGCCTCTGGCACGTAGACAAAGCTGCTGTAGGGTCCCCTCCAGCAAATACCTTTGAGGACTGGGCTGCACCAGGCTCCCGCTGGTATCAGTGAGCTGCTCAGTCCATCTCTGGACTTGAATGTTACCTTTCTGCCCTCAAAGAGAAAGGCTGGAGGGGGTGAACTTGTTTTAAATGATGAAGCACTGCCTGCATGCCCCAGGAGTAAACCCTTCTGCTCAGTGTGAGCCTGGCCGCTGTGCCTGGGGTGCAGGCCATGGAGCAGGGAGCATGAGACCCTGCCCAGCACAGCCACCCCAGAGCCTTGGTTCCCACTTGCTTGGGTTCTGTGAACCACGTTGGGTAGCATGTGCTCATGGACTGAATGTGGCCCGTGCGGTGCTTTGAGAACGGAGAAATGACATGAGCCAGTTCCAGTCTCTGATCTGTCATGGCAGACTAGACGCTGTGGTGGCCCTGGCCCCACGTGGTTGTGGGTGGGTGGCTTTCCACATTTCCTACATCCATTGGGTGAGGAGGGGAAGCGTGTGCTTGGTGCCCACCCCTGGCCCATGGGAAGGGGGCCTCTGTCAGGGAATGGATGTTGGCCGGACCCCTCACACTCACACACACACACACACACACACACACACACACACAGGTGTGGCCTGGCCTCCCCTCTGTGCCACGGCCCCTTGGCCACACACCCTTGCTGTCTTCCCTCTGTCCAGGCTCGGCCTTTCTGTGGATGACGGGAGGGAATGTGCCGCAGGGGCCCTGCCCAGGCCAGCCTTCCCTTGGGCCTCGGACTCCAGGCCTTTGCTTCTTGGCTGTGCAGGCTGCCTGTCATCTCCGTACTTTCTGCTTTGGGCCAGGATGGATATCTCGAGGGACTTGGTCATCAGAGAGGACAAGGCCCATGGCACTTGCCTTGGGTTGAGTGACATGAAGCCACTTCTCCAGAGAGGCCTTATTCACTGCACAAAGGGGAAGGGCTTGGCTTGAGGCCCTGCCTAGGCCTCCAGGCCTGCACGGCCTGCATGCTGCCCAGCTACCAGGGTCTCCAGCTCCAAGGCAGTATCTTTACACTTGTGGTCTCCAGGCAGAGAGGTGTCCCACTGTAGAGATGAAAAAAGTGAGGCTCGGCAGGAAGCAATGGTCTCTGTGAGATTTTGCAGCTCATAGAGCGTAGTGTGGGCTGGCAATTGGTTGGCTTCAGGCCGGACAGCAGCTCAGGGAGAAAAGATTGGATTCACTTGGGCCAAGGACCCTGGGCAGGGCTCCTGGAGTAGGAAGTCCAGGAGAGGGGGATGGTCCCCTTTGCCCACCCTTGTCTTGTGGAGTGTCCCTCCTCACTTTGGAGGCTCTGCGCTACCATCGGCTGAGCAGAAGTCAGTAGGATGTCTGAGCCTAAACTGGGAGCCTGGCCCCCCTCAGCAGGCGGGGAGCCTGTGCTCTGCAAGCACCACCCTGGGCCACCCTCGGTACCCCAGGACACACTTCCAGGCTGGGAGAGAGGGGTCACTGGGGTGAGACTCGGGAAGTATAGAGGGCTGGAAAGAGCTTGTGCACCCGCACCAGTCCCAGAGTGTGCAGGGACCATGCCAAGGCCTGCACATGCCAGGAGAGGGCTCGAGCCCCACAGCCCTCAGCCCGGAGTCGCAGGATGGACCGGGTGTCCAGAGCACCTGCCAGTGCCCCAGGTTGCTCCCATTGATTGCTGAGCATCAGGTGAGGGCACCCACCCTGGCACCCACAGCCACAGCAGCCCTACAGCACAGGTTTCTGAGCCCACACATCAGATGGGGGCCAAGGCTCGTGAGCAGTTGAGCCAGAGACAGACCTGGTGTCCCAGTTATGCAGGCCCTTCTCTGGGTCTCGGTGCTGAGTTCTGGTTTCCTGCCCGTCCCTCTCTCTGGAATGGAGCCTCTGGCTTCCCACTTGGCTCAAGCCAGAAACTGTGGAGAGGCACCTTGATGGTCTCCCGTTAGTTCAGCCCAGCGCACAGCGGGAGTCCACTCTTTCCCCCACTCGCCTCCCTGGGCCATGCAGCAGTGTGCCCGCTCCGCACAGGACCTGTCAGAATGTGGATCACATCGTGTCGTCCCCGCCCCCTTCTCACTGTGGAAGGGGCAGCACCCAGGCCCCAGCCATTCAGCTTCCATCCCCTTGGCAGGGCCCCTGACTCTTCCTCCCATCTCCCTCAGGTCTGGCCTTTCCTCTGAGTTAGCTCTTGGCACCCACAGTGCCTCCAGAGAGCTGTGTAAGCTCAAGAAGCTGTGTAAGCTCTGTCCTTTGAGCAGTTTATCTGCCCTGGCCCAGAGGCGATTGGCGAGCGCTCAGGCTGAATGTGGAGTGGACCAAGCCTGCACCGGAGCCAGCTGACCCCAGGCCTTGGAGAGAGAGAGAGAGAAGGGGGTCCTGGGACGGCTTGGAGGCTCCCATGAAGTCCCTACACACTGGGGCCTGCTCTGGGTGTGTACATACCTCACCCTGCCCTCCTGTGTCATGGCCTCACTCCTGCTATGGCCACAGTGCCACCACAGTGCCAGGCATGCAGCCACATCTGGCACTCCCCCCCACCACACTCTCCCACAGGGACGTGGCTGCCTGGGGTCCAGGGAAGAAGGGGCTGCCCAACAGGCCTGCGTCCCTCCTGCTCCCCATGGCCCACTGCAGCCTCCCGGCCTCATGTCCTTAGCCAACCAGCAGGAGAAGCCCCTCCTGGCAGGGCCGGCACAGGCGGGTGCTGGCCGTGGCCCTCACTGGTCTCTGGCAGCAGCAAGGCGTCCTCCTGTCCTTAAGGATCTGTGGCCTGCTGGCCCTGGTGAGCAGGGATGCAGGCTGGAGGGGCAGTGGAGTGTGACGGCCTGCGGTGCGCATGGGGCCTCTTCCTGCTGCCCAGAGAGGAGGTTGTCCTCTGAGCCTGCCAGCCTCCTCTGCTCAGCTGATGATAGGTTTAAATGTGACCTACTTGGCAGGAATGGTGCTTGGGGGTGCATGTACTCTCCCTCTGTCGGCCTGGTCTGTCCCCCCACCCTAGAACCTCTGTTCCCATTTCTTGGTGCCCTTCGGGAGACCATCTCTCCTTAAACCCTGTGCATGAGTTACCTGTGCATGTGATCAGCCATTGGCGGGGCTCGCTTGGCAGAACTGGGTGGAGGCCGTTCTGGAGCCACAGATGGGGGTCTGTCTCTCCCACCCCCTCCCACCCTCTGTCACCACTGTGTAGGTTGCAGGTGTGGTGCACCTCTCTCCTAACCAGCTGTTTCCAGCTCCTGCTACTCTTGGCCTTGTAGCAGGTGTGTAGTGGCCCAGGTTGCTTGGCCAAATCCTGACCCATGTGTGACCTGGGCCAAAGGGACTCCTGTAAAATGGGGGGCCCCTAGTAAACCGTCTGTGCACCTGGCCTGGCTGGACACTGGGCTGGGTGTGGGGTGGCCAGTGGAGGTTAGATTGGATAACATTCCTGGGTCACTTGCTTATTTGTTTGCTCATATGTTATATTTTTTAGATTCCACAGTGAGGGAAATCATTTGGTACTTGTCTGTCTCTGCCTGGCTTATTTCACTTAGCATAATACCCTCTAGCTCTGTCCATGTTGTTCTCAATGGCAAATACTCCTTTTTTTGGCTGAATAATATTCTATTGTGCATATGCACTGCATCTTCTTTATCCACTCATCAGACTCACAGACGCAGAGAAGAGACCGGTGGTTGCCAGGGGGAGAGGGATGGGGTGAAATAGGTGAGGGGATAAAGAGGCACAAAATCTTCATTTTTATGGGGGGGGGTGTAAAATCTTTTAAAAATTATTTTTATTTTTATTTTATTCTTTTATTAAGGTATCATTGATATATACTCTTATGAAGGTTTCACATGAAAAACAATGTGGTTTACTACATTCACCCATATTATCAAATCCTCCCCATAACCCATTGAAGTCATTGTTCTTCAGTTTAACAAGAAGTACAAAATCTTAATTATACTATAAAGTAGTCACGGGGAAGAAAGTACAGCAGAGGGAATATAGTCAATAATTCTGTAACATCTGTGTGGTGACACATGGTGACCACATTTACCATGGTGAGCATTGAACAGTGCAGATAAGTGTCGAATCACTATGTTGTACATCTGAAACTGATACGATATTGTCTATAAACTATATGTCAATAAAAGAAAAAAGATATCCGTGGGGTCAGGCAGCACCTGGGATCCTATAGGAAAGGGAGCCGGGGAGTGAGTTGACGCATCAGGTCGGTTCCCTGTTTGCAAGGGGCCGCTCTGCCTTCCCGAGCTGCCCTCACTCGGCCTGCACCGCTCTGAGCACCGCTCTGAGCGGACCGCTTTGGACTTGCACAGGGAAGCGCGCCAGGACCAGTGAGGGTGGGGGTGGAGGAGGGCGTCCCCTCCAGGCCCCAGAGAAAGTGGCTGGCGGCAGGCCTCTGTGAGGTCGGGCTGTGAGCCCTCGCTCAGGTGGGCTGTTGGTGCTGCCTTGCCGCCAGGGGGTCCCTGCTCAGTTACCCTCTGAAAATTTGGCTGGCAGGGAGGCCACCGCAGCCTCTGCCTGGTTCCACTGGCCCCACCCGGCCTGCAGGCCCTCAGACCTTCCCACCCCTCTGAGGGAATGGACGAGAGCGTGGGCCTGGGCCATCTGAGGTGGCCCTTTCTCCCTGGCTGCCACTGAAGAGGCATGTAAAGTTCCTGGAATGTTAACCTCTTCAGGATACAGGACCTGCTGCCCTTTCCCTTAAAATAACATATTGTTTCAACTTGGGGACTTCTTGAGTTTTTGGCTTCCTGAATCCAAGAGGTAAGAGAAGAAGCTTTGAATCGGTTTGTCCTTGGCCAGGCATCCACTGGGCCGGAACCCTGCAGCCCCCGCCCAGCCCACTGGCTCCTAGTGGGTTGGAGCCTGGTGTGGAGTCCCTGCCCTGCACATGGGCTGTGCCTGAGGTGGTGGCTGGGTGGGGCTGGGGGTGGTGGAGGGGTGAGGCAAGGGAGGCTGGGCCTTCCTTGGGTTGAAGTGAGGCCTCCCCATGACCCTGACACAGCCCTGTGTGGCTGGTCCCGGCAGAGGGCTTCGACAAGTCCCTTTTGCCCTCCACTCGGGTTGGACTGGTTCAGACGTTAGCCAGCTGGGCCTCAAATGCCAAACTCCGCCACCACCTGCCTTTTTACGTCCCATGTGCTCCTCTCGGGACCTCTTATATGAGGAATCACACAGTATTTGCCCGTTTGTGTCTGGCGTACTTCACTGAGCAGAGTCCTCGAGGTTCATCCACTACAGGTGACAGGTTTGCTCTCTTTTTTCATCCTCTCATGTGCAGCAGCACACAGGTACATGGCCATCACATTAGACACCTTCAGCTTACAGAAAGCGGTATGTCAGCTACAATTGGTAAAAAATAAAAGCAATTTGAATGTTTTTTAAAAAGGAATGCCCTTTTTAAGGCTGGATAATAGTCTACTACATGGGTAAACCACGTTTTATTTATCCACTCACCTGTGGCTGGACAGGCAGGCTGCTTCTACGTTTGGGCTGTGACTAAAGCCGCTGGGAACATGCTTGTGTTAATATCTCATGGAACCCCTGCATTTGGGTCTTCTGGGTATATACCTAGAAATGGGATTGCAGGATCCGGTAGTGATTTTATGTTTAATTTTTTAAGGAACTGCCAAACTGTTTCCCATAGTGGCTGCTCTGTTTTACGTTCCCACCAGCAGTGAAGAAGGTTCCAGTTTATCTGCCTCGTCACCGGCACCATTACTGTGTCCTCCCGATTGTTCTGTGACGGGGGTGAGGCAGAACCTAGCCGTGGTCTGGGTCTGTGGGTCCCTAGTGATTAGTGGCATCTCACTGCCCTTTGAGAAACCCTTGTTCAACTCTTGGTGCAGTTTTAAGATCAGGTTTGTTGTCACTGTTGAGTCACGTACATGGTGATATTTAAACTGTTCTTAAGTATCTACATCATGTCCTAGGCTTTGCCTCTTGGCTTACAGAGCTGAAAATATTTACTGTCTGGCCTTTTGAGGAAAAGTTTGCTGATCACTGGACTAGTAAATGACTAAGGCCCCTTGTAGCGTGATCAGATCTGTATTTTATGACTGTGTCAGGTGTCAGCAAACTTTTTCTATAAAGGACCAGATAGTGAATGTTTTTTACTCTGCAGGCCATACAGTCTCTGTCACAACTAAGAGAGACAGCATGTGAGCAAATGAATATGACCAGGTCCCATTGAAATTTTATTTAAAAGAATAGCCAGTGGGCCAGATTCAGCCTCAGGTTACCGTTTGCCAGCCCCTGCCATCCGTGAAAGGAAGGTCCTGCCAGTGTCCATGTGCACCTGGTGGACAACATCCAGGAAGCACAAAGGGAAACGGAGTTAGAGCAGCCTGGGGGAGGTGCAGGCCCTCTGGGTCAGCCTAAGCTCTGCTCCTGATGGGGGCTGGCCTGGAGCAGGTCACAGCGTCTCTCAACCTCCTGGCTGTGGAATGGAGCAGGAGCTCCTGTCCCCTCTCAGAAGGGGTCGCCTGACTAACTAGCCAGCTCCTCACTCAGTGTGTGGTACATGCGGGGATCCAGGTAGAGCAGCTGTGGCCCTTGGGAGCCATTGTACAGGTGGGTAGATGTGGTCAGACCTCCATGGTGGGCAAGTCCCTGTGGCTGCATGAAGGGAGCTGGGAGGAGAGGGTGAAGGACAGACCACTGAGCTGGATTTGGCACCTCCTCCTGCACAGTTTGCGAGCAGGAGGTGAAAAGCTGCAGTGCCCCTGGTCCCCAGGCAGGGTCCCTTCTTCCTCCTCCAGCCCCAGCGCAGCCCAGCCCAACGTGTACACACCAGCAAAGAACTCCTTGGTTTATTCCTGCGTGACCTGGAGAGGTGCCCCCATGCCAGTGCGCAGCCTTTTACAGGCGGGAGCCCCCAGCTCCTCCACTCAGCTCTCTCTGTGTGGGTGAGGGTTTGGGTCTGGCCTGCTCATGCCTCCTGGGCTGTGGCCTTTCTCTTGGCTGAACTGGCCACTGAACTTCTGGGAGGAGAGAAGGATGCATATGGGTATGGCTGGCCTTCTTTTCTGCCCTTCAGGGCCAGCAGACAGTGAAGGCAGAGGCGCGTTTTCCCTTCTCTTGGCCCTTCCCAGGTTTGCCCTTCCTTCTACCAGCTGGGGGATGGTGGTGGGTGGGCATCGGGGAGGGGCCGTGAGAATCCTGCTCCTGCACATAGGCTCCTGCCCTCATCCTGCACGGCCCTCTGCTTGGTTCCTAGGGGTGGTCTTGTGTGTGTGGTAAAATACACATAACAGAAAAGGTACCATTTTAGCCATTTTAAAATATACAGTTCAGTGACATTAACATACAATGTTGTGCAACCACTTTTGTCTAGTTACAGAACTTTCTACCCCCGCACAACCCTGCTTTTGATAAGCAGTCACCCTACCTTCACCCCCCAGGCCCTGGAAAACAATGTGCTTTCTGTTCCTATGATTTGCCTGTAGTGGGCATTTCCAGTGTATCTGTTCTTATTTCCCTGGAAGCCACGACGTCCACGAGGGGGGGCGGCGTGGCGGCTGTGGGTTGGCAGAGCTCACGCAGAGTGAAGGGGCCCAGACCGTGTGCTATCGGAGCCCTGGGCCTGGCTGTCGGCTCAGGGCTGCAGGCCACAAGCAGGGCTGAGCTGGGTGCCTGGTGTGTAGCTGGGGCACTCCAGCAGGGCTCTCCCCCACCTGCCTCCACTCAGGGTTCCAGGATTTCAGGGGAGCAGAGCACGGACAGCGTCAAGTCACACTGGTGACCGAAAGCTCAATCCAAGTTTAAAAATAGAACCCGAGACAAACAGATGAACCCCCAGTGCAGAGTATTTCCAAAGGAAATTGCCTCCTATTTATTCTGTTACGGAGTGTGTGGCCCACAGAGCCCATGTCCCTCTGCTGATCTTCCACGTGGAATGGACTGTGCTTTCCTGGCTTAGCGGAGGAGCTGGAACACCAGAGATGGCCTGATTGGGACTGGGCCGCGCCGTGCCCATACCCCTGTGCTGGTGTTCCCAGCACATGCGAGGCCAGGCGGAGCCCCAAAGGGCCTTCCCAGGTTTCTCTGCTGACCTGTTTCTGGCCCGGGTGCTTTTCTAGGAGCGGGTGATGAGGGAGCTTGGAAAAGGGCTCCCCACTTGCGCCATGGGGGGAATGGGAAAGGAGCCGCAGGTGGACGGGGCACAGGGCAGCCACAGGGTGCTTCAGGGCTCCTGCCCCAGCATTGGCCCTAGATCCCCTCCGTCAGGCATCTCCATCTGCTTCTAACCAGAAGCCTTTTCCTGTGGAGCCATCCCCCAGAGAAGCTGCTGCGGGCAGCACTCGGGTAAGAGGGCTCCTGTTTCCTCTGCCAGCGTGTGTACTTGCCAGGCGGCTTCTGGCAGAGGAGCCCAGTGCCCACGGAGTTGGAAGCCGAGGCCCCACTGGACCCTGGTGGGTTCTCTGGAGCACCATGCCCAGGTCCTGTCGGGGCTCCACTGCTACTGGGGTGGCCTGCAGGGTCCCCCTGCTGTGCCCTTCCCCAGTAGGGACTCCCTACCTCCAGAGGAAACATTCCAGACCTTACCACAGGCCCCTTTCAAACATCTCCTGCCCAGCCCAGCTGTTCCTTTTTGGAATGCTCTCCCTGCCCCGTCCTGTTCCCTGGCAGATTTCTTCCATCTCAGCTCAGACTGAGCCTCCCCAGTGCCTTCTGGGCTCAGTTTACTCCTCTGTCCTTCCCACTGTCCTGTTGGCAGAGCCCTGGGCTTACCGGTGTGCACACAGCTCCCCGGCAGCAGCTCTATGCAGGCAGACGGGACAGGTACCGTCACCATCGTTCAGAGGGGACCACAGGCCAGGGCACCCTCTCTGAAACCAGGAGCCCACAGTGCTTTCATTGGGCTATCTGGGGTGCTCCCCTCAAGAACCAGTGGGTATCCTGGGCTGTGGGCAGCCTAGGGCTGGTCAGAGGGTGTCTGGTGCACCTCTTAGCCCTAGGTTTGGGAACTGGGGGTGAGCCCTGGCAGGGAGGATCAGGTGCCAGAACTATGTTTAGGTAGGTAGAGCCTAGAGGCTGGGCCCTGGAGGTGTCATCCCAGCCCACAAGAACACAGAGGCCTGAGTGTGTGTGTTGCTATCCAACTCCCAGCCCCCACCACAGACACACTGTGCTGTGTGGTCCCTAAGGCAGTGGCTGCCACGGAGCCAGGGGCCTGCAGGCCAGCCCCACCATGAGTATGCAGTCCGCCTTGCCAGGGCCCACACCTTCTCCATCCCACTCACCCCATCTGCGGACTGGAACAGGTAGGGAGGGTGCTGATGCTGCCTGCCAGAGCTGCTTCTCTGTGGCCTCATCTGCCGGGTCTACAGGTGTGCCTGGTCACGGGGCTGCCAAGATTCACCAGAAAATCAGATGAGGGCATGGAGGTGTGGGGCATGGCTGTCATTCTGGTACAACACTGGGTGTGCTTGACCCTGAGCCAGTCCCAGCAGCTCAGCCTGGAGCTGCAGGGTGACCCTGGCCTGGGCAGCAGGAAGGCAGAGGGTCATGGTGGCAGTGCCCAGGGTGCCCAACACATGAGTGCCACTGTTTGACGGGTCACCATGCAGGCCTCTGCCCACCATGTTGTGTTTGCTGTTTGTTCAAAGACCCTTCTCCCTTCCTCACTGTCCCGCCTTCTCCACTCTGTGTGTGTTGAGGGGCTGTTGCTTTTCCTCCAGCTGATGACTAAGTAACCCATCTGCCTGCCGTATGCTGGGTGCCAGGGAGATGCTCCAAGGAGATGCAGCCTTTGTTCTCCAAGAGCTGAGATAGTTGCGGGAGGTGCTCCGGGGAGGTGGCTGTTAGTCTAACATGAGGATAGTTTTACCACAGTCTGAATTTACCCATGGAATGAATGAATGAGGATCATGAGTTTGTTCTCCTTGAAAGAGCCTGGCAGTAGTTAATTTGTGATGGATGGATGGGACGGATGGATGGGTGGATGGGTGGGTGGATGGATGGATGGGTAGATGGGTGGGTGGGTGGATGGGTGGATGGGTGGACAGGTGGATGGCTGGGTGGATGGCTGGGTGGGTGGGATGGCTGGCTGGATGGATGGGTGCGTGGATGGGTGGATAGGTGGATGGATGGA